ACAACTGACCTTTTATTATTGACAGGATGGGAAACGTGATACAGCATATTGACCAGTGGGAAAACAGAATCAAAAAGCATCTCCACTTGTTTGTGTAAAATCGTATTTGGGTTATTGGCTGTAGAATCAGTCCAGGGCTTAATCGACTGAGATATTTCAGCCCTTGTGTTGGCGGCCAAGTCCTTAATGTGACAGCCCCCCGCTGCTGAATGAGGTCACTGTATTCATTGAAAACACTGGGAAGCCCTATATATATATTTATATACAGTATATCTATATGTGTGTGTGTGTGTGTGTGTGTGTGTGTGTATACTCGGGGCTAAGGGGTACAGGCTGATTATAAAACACCCCCCCACCCGGCTATGCTAGTGGTCTGTTACCATGGTGAGGTAGAGAGTGCTCCCAAGAAGTGGCTTCATCCCATAGTAAAGGATGGTGGGCACATTGCCCACCGTGGCAGTGATGATGATGACAATGATGGGCTCTTTTCTCCCCACAGCTCATAATGGGTGAGAGAGGTTTGGGTAAATTGGGGAGCAGAGTGTTAGCACATGAAATCCTCTATATTTCAGTGTTCTGTTTAAATATGCACACCTGTCAGTCTCAGCCCCCGAGGTGATAATCCTAATCAAAGAAGGTTTTATTCCTTAAGCACCCTTTAGAGCCATTTACAAAGTGATTTCAACAGTCACGATAAAATCCCATAGTTCATAAAGGAAATGAAGGGATCACAAGATGGAAAGAGGGCAAAACACAAAAAGAACAGTTTAAGGATGGAAGACGTCACAGTCAAAGTCATTATTTGAGAATGAGTTTTGATAGGTTGTTTAAAAGGATGCCCCCCCCACCACAGTAAATGGTTTTCCTTGTACCCTGTTGTCTCGCTAAAGGAGCTCAGTCTTGTTCACACTTTCAAAAGGCTAAATTATGGATGTTTCATCACTGTGGTTATATAAATGACCTCAGCTGCTCACTTACTCTCTCACACACACACACACACACACACACACACACACACACACACACACACACACACACACACACACACAGTGTCTTTTCACGACCACCCCCTGCCTGCCTCTCCATCACTCTCTCTCACTTCCTCTCAGATGAGTGTACATTGTGTACCGGGGGTCCCCTCTTCATCAGAATGGGAACAGGTTCTTTATTCGGACACCACAGGCTCTTCATGATGATAATGTACTTTAAAAAACATTACGTAAGATTAGTTCAGGTCACGTGTTTGATCTGAACCCAGAGGCTGCAATTTGATTTTGGCTGCAGAAGATTTCTTCTCCCTATCAACCATCAGATAAGTTTCTTACTCTGCTGAATGGTAGGGGGGCACCAATTGGGTGAATGAATCTATGAAACTTTAAGTTAGTTTTATTGTGTCAGTTTGTTGTTGTTTTTTGCCTTCCTCTTCTACAAACTCTCTTTAAATAAGAAATTGTGTTGCATTTCATGGTTTTGAAGCACAAACCTGCAAGTCTTGCTTGTCTACCTGCCTGGTCCCATACATTTATCAAATAATACATAACACCACAAAACTGCAGCATGCAATGCAAGAGGACCCTGGATCTCTGCAGCCATTGTTAATTGTCTTAACAATGTTGTTGGTATCGTTATCAAAAAGTGACAAACCACTGGGACATCATCCATTTTCTTTGTGAGCTGCTTTGTGAAGCCTCAAGTTTGGCATTTGACACCATCTTGGTGTCTTGAAACCAGAAGTCACCATGCTCACCAGCCGGTGTGGCCCGGGTGCGAGATGCACCAGATCCCAGCTGCTACGTGTGAAGTCGCTGTCGGCAAAGTCAGCTTCCATAATCCAAGGTGAGAGTTAGTGTAAAAGTAATGTAAATATCAACATTGACGGCAGGTTGTTATTGTCATTGATTAATGTTATGAAGCAATCAGCTGTAACAATAGACTGCCTAATTTTTCCTTAAGGTTACAATTCATTAATCTACTGAAACTATAACATCATTACACTTAACTGTTGGCGTCTCCTCGTGCTGTTTGTTCAAGAGACAGCAGATGTTGATTGAAATGAGCTCATTATCTAATTTATATAAACATCACAGAACACTGCTTTTTATTATTATTTATTCTCCCAGTTGAATGAGTGAAGCATGAAGCATTATGATAATGTTTGCTCGTGGTTGTTGGCTGTTTTTTTGCAAGTTCTGTTCATTTCATAGTTGATGACAGGCGTCAAAATATATATTGTAATGATTCTTTTTCCCTGTTGTAGGAAAACATTACTGAGTGCTGGGATCCATCATGGTATGTTCACCCACATAGTGTCACTGCAGTAAGTATGAGTTCCGTTTTATTACTATTAAATGTAAAACTGAACAGCATAAGGTTATTTTTTACATCCAAGTTCAGGGACTCATTTATTTTTCAGATTATTGTGTTGAGCTCGTTGTATAATAGCTCTGTTCCTCTCCTTCTCTCTGCAGCCCACATTATGATACATTTCTCACTATTACAATATCCTTTTTTCAGTCATAGTGTGGGTCGTACCATTGTAGCTATAAAGAAGACCCTGCACAACCTCCACCTGCAGTATGAACACATAAAGAACATCCTCTCTGGCTCATCCACAGACGCAGGTGGATGCTGGTGTCAGTCCAGAGAAAACCTACGAGCCTCGCAGGTTTATCACGACATGTGCTCATTGTTCAAGTGGACGCCTTGTGCACATCCTCACATAAGGTTTAACACTATTTCTGCATGAGGGACTCACCATATGGGGAAATTATGTTTTTAAATGGTTTTTAAAAAACGATTAAAGCCCAACTCAAGTAACAGTGAAATGTTCATGTGTGACTTAATGGACTTAAATAAGAGAATATGTGTTATTTTAGTTAATGTAGTATTTTTTATGTTTAATACTTGCCATAACATTGTTCAGTCTCACATCCATTGCAAATTACGTCGTTCTTCAACTCTCACTAATGGATTCATTGTGAACACATTTCAAATGACCTCAAAAGAAAAACACTTAAGAACTGGTGGGGCACAGTGAGTCAACCCTTTCATACCCTGTTCTTTGTGTCTGTCTCAAGGCAAACGGGAGATCTATTCAGGGGCAGGTCCGGGGTGGCCCCAGCTGAAATCTAAACATTTTTAAATGCACAATATGCTTGAACAAGGAACAATTTGATGTAAAAGCAGCTCTGCTCAAAGCTAGAGAGCTCACAGTAAGCAAGGAATAACTTAAAATGTGCCCCTTATCCTGAATCAGGAATTGTGCGCGGATGTTGGACATTTAATTGGACCGTCTGTGTAAATTTGTTGCCCCTTTATGGCCCCTGGTTCAGGAAAATCTCAGATCTGCCACTGGATATTTACAAAATGATGCTGCTGTAAGACTTGAAACAAGTACATTCTTAATGGAGTATGGGTTATTTTATCATTCAATTCCATTCAAAAGAGTACAGGTTTGCGAAACTTCCTCTTTGGCTTTCTGACTTCTCAGGTTATGTCCATTTTTATACAGTCTATGGTTATTACTTAAGCCTGTGCTCTCTCTGCTTTTAAAAAACATGAAAAAATAAAATCAGTACACTGTAACAAACAATTGTCCATTCTTCTTTGTTCCTGCTATATTTAGTCCAATTGAGAATTCAAAAACCTGCTCTACGACACCTTGTCAATACACTGATCAGTCTTTTCTTTTGTTTTACTTTGTCAAGCTGTGAATTCATGGAAAATAATGGAAATAAGTTTTCTTTATCACATTTTTTATGGCCTAGGATGAACCCTTTCAAACTCAGCCACAGACTTACACCAATCAGCCCCAACATGCAGTTACCATATGAGATGGAGTGGCTGATCGGTGTGCATCTGCAGTCACTGACGATTAATCAGTAAACCGCATTCCCAAGGGAGACTCATAAATAAAGTAGATGTCAACATCTTAAGGAGTGCAGTCATCCTGAGGATGTTCTAAATTATAACTGCGGTAATTATAAATTGAGCTGTGCTGCGAGCTCTGGAAACATGTTGCTTTATTTCCTGAATATATAGAGGCAGTTTTGAGTAGTTTCTATTTCTATCAGTGCCTTCAATTTTATTGTGGATATTGATTTTCTATTATCTCTGCTCATTAATTCTCTTGTCTTTATTTTTATGATATCTCTGTCTCATCTTTATGTTTATTTATCTGACTCAATAAGTGTTTTCCATCCATCTGTTTGTACTTGTATTTTCACTTAGTGCATCATAAACACACACACACACACACACACACACACACACACACACACACCAACAAAACACAAAAATATGTCTTGACTGTGGTTGTTTAATGGCACAATGCTATTTGATTGAAGTGCACATTTATTTGCCTTTTTGTTTTTCCAACTCCTTAAACATTACCGTGTAAATTGGTGCCACATTTTGATTGAAACAAGGGAAAAGTCTCAGTCAAAATCAATATCAATACTTTGATATTGGTTTATTAAAAGTGTTGTTATGTTTTAAATCAACCAAATAAAAGGCATTTTATTATTTTAGATCATTTTAAAAACAGTGTCACCACAAGGTCCATGCATGAGCTGCTCTAGATCTTCAAATCACATCCCATTCACTCATGGATTTGGCCCAGTTTTCATGGAAAATAGGACTCAGGTCAGTATTCGTCTGAGCAATTAAAGGACCTCTTAGCCTTGTTAGCTTAAAAGCTAATAGTCAAAGCTCATAATCACACGAAAAGGTCCATTTAGAAGCTGCTCATGAACGTTAACTTAATTTAACATGATCTTCATCAGCAGGTTGAATATTGATTCAACTTAAAATGCAGTTTTATTTTTTCAGTGCTGAGAGAAATTCTGTGCCATTAGAAGAATAGATGAATAATTATTTTCACCCAAATTACTTTGATTCTGCCATATGAGATACAAATACTCATACACATTATCTGTCTTTAAATGAAATAAACTATATTTCTTGTTATATATTGTAAAGAAAATATGTTTTTCCCGTAGATGCCCCAGAGGGTGGTGCTGCACCAATCAGCGATGAACTGGACATCTTTGGACCAATGGTCTCCAATCCTCTTCCCTCAGCCAACAACACACAGCAGGCCCAGGTAATGTACACACACACACACACACACACACACACACACACACACACACACACAGAGGCTTTCATCATGTGCTTATCACCACAGGCAGGCTGCAGCATAGGGAGTCTGTGGAGACTCCTATGATGCAAATACACACAGACATACACACACAAGCACATTCACAAACACGCCATCTCTCTCCGGCACACACTCTCTGAGGATCATACTGAAATAAACTGTCACGGACGTTCCTTTATTGAAATAATTTAACCACTGTCCTTCAAAAGAGAGAGTGGGTCTGTCTGACAGAGTGGAACAATGGTGAACCAGCACAATGAAACAACAGCCGGGAGTGGTAGGAATATAGAAGAAGAATATACGGTACCTCAACAATTGTAGCTGCCAGAAATGTTCAGCTTATTTAACCTTAACAAAAAGTCCTCACTGAAGAACCGACTGAAAAAAAATACAAACTGTATTTATATAACACCTTCCGAAACACAGTTACAAGGTGCTTTACAAGTGAAAAATGAAACAGCTGAGAATGACAATGAAACTGAAAGCAAACATTAGGAAACATTTAAAAAACAAGAAAAAGCAAACAATAAGGAACAATTAAAAGCAACAGCATTCAAGTGCAGATACAGAAATAAACAATGTTACAGATGAGAAAAGAGAACCAACATAAAATAAATAATTGTAAAATTATTAAATTGCCAGTAGGATCAAAAGTAGAAGTATGTTAGTATGTTAATAACCTATAAAAATGTGTCTTTAAGGTAGTTTGAACAGAGGGTAAGGAGGTTGCCTGACTGATCTCCTCAAGTAATAGACCAAGTCACCTCTCGGGCCGTGGTGTCAAAAGATCTGAAATGTACTCGTGTGCAAGTCCAGAACGGGCCTTAAAAGTCAGCAGTAAAATCTTAAAATCATTGCAAAATTTACTGGAAGCCAATGAAGAGAAGCTAAAATCTGAGGAATGCGCTCTGTTTTAAAGATTTGATGAGAAGTCTGGCTGCTGTGTTTTCGACAAGCTGTTCCAATAATCAAAACAAGTTTCTACTAGGTAAAAATATCTCTGAAAGTTTCCTGAGCTGCGAAATACATGAGCAGGCAACTGTGTTGACATGCTTATCTAAGAGGGGGTCAAAGGTGACATTAAGAATTTTACATTTCTAGGCAAAGCTTTGGAATAAAGAACCCAGGTGCTTTAATGTTCAACTATTGACTTTGCAAATACATGTTGGATGTTCAGTAATACACACACACACACACACGACACAGTGGAGGGAAGGACTTTGTGCCACAGGCAATATGTGCTGAGGTGCACAGAATCCCCACCCACAGGTGTCTGTGCTTTGACCAACATAATCATGATAACCTAGTTGTTTCACAGTGACACAATGTAGCGACACAACAACATTAAAATCAAGTGGAGAAAAGTGAGTGAACCTGTCACCATCCTGATGGTGGGGTGGGGGATAAAGACTTTTAAACACACATTGCCCAAAGGGATTTAGTTCGTCTCTGACTGTTCCCTAACTGGTTTGACGTAACAAACCCACAATTAAAGTTATCAGTCAGTGTCGAAATGTAGAAACAAGAAGTGTACGGTAAGTTTGTGATTATGCATATATCATCTATAGTTTAAAGATGAGGACAGTGATACAAAAAATGGAAAGCTGGAGTCTGAGATGTTGCAACGACCTCAGGCACGAAAACTGGTGGACTCAAATGCACAACTCAGACTTGGATATGACAAAAAGAGGTTTATTTTCAGTCTCTAAAGGTGCATAACAAAAGGTGCTCACGAGGAGGATAACAAAAGAAAGTAGCAAAACAATACTCTAACAAAACCACAGAGATAAACACGAATACTAAACATGAATGAAGCTAAATTCTGGCTTGACAAAATCTCACACTTGAAGCGTGGGGACAGAACAAGACGAAGTGGCACAGGACAAAGGGAGACGAGGACTATTTATACAAGAGGAAGTAGGAAACAGGTGGAACCAATCAGGGGCGGGGAAGACGATCACGAAGGCGGGAAATCACACAAAGGGAGGAAGTCAGGGTCTGAAATGAGAGGGAAAAGGTGAGTACCAAAATAAAACAGGAAGTGTACGACGAGACTCGACACGAGTGAAATTTAACTTAACACCTAGTGCTCCCAAACACACAAGACTAGACATGAACTAACACAAACATGGTATACTTCAACATAAACATGAATAAACTTAACATAACTGACGAGACATAACAGATGTTGCATCCATTAGCACTTCCACCTGTCAGATGTTTGTTTGTGTAAGAACAGGTACAAACTATCAAAGCTTTACTGTATCATCCAAAACTCCTTCCTCCTGTCTGCTCTCACTCGTTCACTGCCTGCTCTCAGGGGATTGAGCCTGGTTGAATGAAACATTTTCAAAGGGCAGCGTTGCGTTTGAAATGTTGTTGCAGTCTCTCAAGTGTGGCCTTTGACCTGGGACTCAGCTGGAAATGAGGACACACACATTCATACAGACCCAAATATATACCATCTGTCTTACACATACAATTACTCCAAGGATGGAGACACGCAGTTGCACACTTCTGGTCAAATAATCAATATTTATACAAAAAAACATGATATTCAAGTCATATACTGCATGAGCACTAAATGATCACATTGATCTATAGCTGGGCTTGAAATTTATTCTTTCACTCTCTGACCTATTCTTAGTTTTCAAATTGTCTATCTCACTCTGTTCCTCGCACACACACCTCTGTGCCTCCTGGGACCAGAGAAGACAGAGGCTGGCAGGAGACCCAGGCATGAAGAACAATTATGGGCTGCTGTAACTGCATGCTACCCTTTTCTGCCACTACCAGCCTCCTACTTACCCTCTAATCTCCCCTCCATGATCGGGTCTGCAGTGACTCCGGCTCCTGCGGCTCTTTTCCTGCCTAACACCTTGGCTCATCTCCATGCATCCATTACTTCTAAATTGCCCACCTTAATGCTTATTTTTCATTCTCTGTGAAGACCTGGTGTGGTCACTGGAAATACAAGGTAATTCTACACATGCAGCTCTTTTTGGTCAATCAGGAACAAGTATGATGAAGATCTTTGACAGTATATTATCCCCTCAGAAGAAGTCCATTCAAAACCTAAAGGGTTTTTATTCTGTTAAACAGTGTTCACTTTATCAATTAATCAAATTTTATTTGTATAGCCCATATTCACAAATTACACTTTGTCTCATCAGGCAAAAAAGGTGTGACATCCTCTGTACTTAACCCCCAACCAGAGTCAGGAAAAACCACCAATAAATATTAATGGGGAAAAAAGGTAGAAACCATGGAGAGAGTCACATGTGAGGGATCCAAGTGCAGATCCCACATGTAAATATAAACATCAACAAAATTACAATAGTTACAAAATTGATTAGATTTACTTTCAACTGAAACCTGATTTAATTTATAACTAGCATTATTTTGTGGGGTAACAGGCTATTTAAGTAAAAACTTTGTCTGAAAAATCCTTTTAATGCTTCTACATCAGGGTGTAAGGAAATATTAGTGACCCTGCTGTGCTCCTTGTTACATATGGGGTAGATTTACGCTGAGATGACCCTTATTCAGAAAAGTAATTGATAAAAGATTGTCCTTGCTTGAAGCAGTTAAATTGTTCCAAAGTGTCAGTTTGTGTTGAAAACTGTCAAAATACAAATTTAGTGTGTGGCATTACTGCCAAGTTTGACTCTTTGAGATTTACCAAAGGTAAGGATTTGTTGGATGAAGTTATTTTGGCTACCTCCACCTCCAAGCAGCAGCATCACTACCATCTGACAAACCCGAACAACACTTCCTGTCGCAAAGTCTTGGAGTGAAGACATTGTATTTGGAGCCATCAAATGGAAAACAGTCTGTAAAGTAACCAGTCTGCTGACTAACTAATGTATGCCCAGTATGTTGCCTCTTCATGTAAACCCATTGGATTTTGGTGACCTTGTGACCTTTACAATGGTGGCCCGATCAGGTGAACCAGTTGTTTCGTGAATTCATTTTCTGGTATTTTCTTTGCTCAGATACAAAATTCAATTCAATTCAATTCAATTTTATTTATATAGCGCCAATTCATAATTTACATTATCTCAAGGCACTTTACATTTAAAGGTCAAGACCTTAAAACAATAGTAACATAGAGAAACCCAACAGTTCCCACAATGAGCAAGCACAGGCGACTGTGGAGAGGAAAAACTCCCTCATTAACAGGGAGAAACCTCTGGCAGAACCAGGCTCAATGTGGGTGGTCATCTGCCTCGACCGGTTGGGGTGAGGAAAGAAAAGTAAGGGGGGAGAAAAGGAGAGATGGGTGGAAAGCGGGGGAGAGAAGAGAGAGATGAGGTGGAGAGAGAGAGACCGGGAACAATTTGGCACCATCAGTATCAAGGCTGACTATAACAATAACAATGTATAGATCTACAACATGACTAGATATATTAATAAATTGCTAAGTTCTTGTAATAAATGAAGACAATGGTGATGGTGGTCGTTGTGGTCCTGTAGACCCGGTGCCGGAGTTATCTGAAACGAGATAGAGAGAAGAGCCAGAGGGACTATGGGAGGACAAAGTGACACTTTGACATGATGACATGTTAAAACTAATAAATAAATAAATAAATAAATAAAGAGGTGTGGGGGGGCAGAGAGACAGAGGGAAGTGATGAAGTGCTCAGTGCATGATGGGAGTTCCCCCAGCAGTCTAAACCTATAGCAGCACAACTAAGGGATGGTTCAGGACTCACCTGATCCAGCCCTAACTATAGGCTTTGTCAAAGAGGAAGGTTTTTAGTTTTACTTTAAATGCTGGGACAGTGTCTGCCTCCCGAACCCAGAGTGGGAGCTGGTTCCACAGGAGAGGAGCCTGATAGCTAAATGTTCTACCTCCTGCTCTACTCTTACAGACTCTTGGAACCACTAGAGAGCCTGTGTTTTGGGAACGAAGTGATCTACTTGGATAATAAGGTGTTATC